CGTATACATCTATCATGTAGTTTAACATTCACAGAGCTATATCATCACAATGTGGGTCAAATCCTTTAACGACTCCATAAGTGCAAACCTTACTTGTGGCAGAACAAAAATGAGCAAGGCTATCACAAGTGTTTTAGTACCTGGATCCTAGAGGTCAATTCTAGATGATTTGAAAGATGGGCATCCATATGCAATTCTAACAGATGCATCTAATTAGGGAAATATTAAAACTTTTCCCTCGATCCTTCTCTATTTCAACAAGAATAAGAACATTTCAATAAAACTTAAAATTTTTTCCTCGGATAGTGAAAAATTTAACGATGTAGCTAGCCACATAATGGTAAATATAGCTGCAGGGTTATCAATGATTTGCATTTCAGCTGTCTGCGCTGATAATGCCTCTGTAACTTTTGGCAAAAACCAAAGTTACTGAATTGTGGCAGCACAATAATGAATTAATACTAATTAGCTGTATATGCCATATACTACATAGTTCTTGCAAGAAGGCAATGATCTGTGGATGTCGAAATAATTGTGATGAAATGTTTTAACAAATTTAGTTCATCAACTAAAAGAGTTAATGAATTTAAAGAGTTGGTGAAGTGGTCTGACTTGGAATGGTGTGAGTTGTTGCTATATATACCTATCAGGTGGTTATCATTAATACCTGCCATCGATTGAATTTTAAAATTTTACAAACCCTTAAAAAAATACTTATTAAATAGAGATTTTAAAAGCTGTCCTAAAATTTTGATTTGGAATTCGTTTCACATGTAGGAATTCTACTTCATGCAGTAATATTCAGTTGCAATCAGAATATTCTTTATTAAAAAAGATTCACAAAATCACGCTACAGCTCTGTTCATCTCTACAGTTAAAAATTGATAATAAATTTTATGGCGCTATTGCTAAAAATATTATATTATAATGTTCAAATAATACTCTAATTAATACATTTTTAAATGAAGCAGATATTTTTATTAAGACAATTTTAGAATATTTACAATCAAAATTTGATTTTAATAACTCTTTTTACAAATTGTAATATTATGACCTTGGAACAGAAACCATCAATTGATGGTTTTTATAATTTAATAAATATATTAAAAATACCGAAAGACATTGATGTCTTGTTTGAGGAGATTGTAATTCTCTCTATTTTTTATGATTCGCCAAAATACTTAGTTAGATGGTCTAAAAGCAGAGGAGAAATGGGTAGAATTTTTTTGTAATAACGATGAATCCCCATGCTTGGAAAAAATATGCGAGTATGTCTTCTCCTTACCTCATTCTAATGCCTCATCCTAGCGCATTTTTAGCCTGATGAGGACTACCTGGAAAAAGGAGAGAAATCGGATTGCTTTAACAACATTAGAGGCCGAGCTAATGGTTAAACAAATATATAATATGTCATGCCATGAATTTAATAAATATCTCAATAACGACGGTATTTGATTCTATTATTTAAATCTCAAATAAAATATAATTAAGTTTTAGCAATGGCGCATAAAATTTATTGTCAATTTTTAATTGTAAAGATGAACACATCTGCAGCATAATTTTGTGAATCTTTGTTAAGATTCTTCTGATTGCAACCACATTAACAGCATGTAGTAGATTTCCTACATGTAAAATCATTCCTAAATATATCTGCCATTCATTATTGAAAAAAATTTTCAAAATGTTAGGACAGCTTTTATAATCTTTATTTAATAAATATATTTTTAATGGTTTATAAAATTTTAAAATTCTATCGATGGCAGGTATTAGGAACATATCGCAACCAACATTGTGCTGACTCAATTCTGTAAATACACTCTGTTTTTACCAAATTCACTGAGACATTATCAGTTCAGAAATCTGACTTGCAATTTATTGATATTCTCGAATCTGCTATATTTACCATTATATGGTTAGCTATGTCTTTGGATTTTTCACTCTTAATTATGTTGAAATAACGGAGAATCAAGGAAAATATTTTAATATTACCCTTATTAGATGCATTTTTTAGAATTGCATATGTATGCTCATTTTTCAAATCGTCAAGAATTGACCTCCTGGATTTAGGTCCTAAAACATTGATGATAGCCTTGCTCATTTTTGTTCTACAAGTATAGTTTTCATTTATATTAGAGTCGTTAAATATTATGGAAAAAAGATTCTACCAACATTGTGATAATAAGTATCTCTGTGAATGTTGCACTACAAGATAAGTGATTAAAATTGCCGCAATTGTAGTTACATCTGTATTATTTCTTATTTTTAGAGTATCTTATTATGTATTTAAACGTGATACGTGATAATTAAGCGCCTACCCCTATAATTTATACATACAAACATACGATAGATTTCCAATTGCGGTCGTTTTGAGGGACATTCAATAAAATATATTTTTAATTGTAAAATTAAAATCGTTTTTTTTTAATAAAATTTTATCTTGTTTACATTCTTTTATATCTAAAAAAGATCGTTGGTTTTTTTTTTATAAATTAATATATTCTAATAAATCAAGACGTATTTTATACCGACTTTGTATTTATATAAACTAATTATAAAAATAATAGGCGGATGTCAATTCAAAATCCTGGCCGAAGGCCGGCACTTTGCGGGCCTTTTATATTTCTACCGCAATTTTCATATTTCTCCCGCATAATACCAAATTTCTCCCGCAATTTGAAAATTTTGACCTGGTAACCCTTGTTAGGAACTGTATCATTGAAAGTGAAACCGATCAATTTTTTCACACTGGGATATGGTATGGATAAAAAGACTAATTTATGTCGATTTTGCAAGCGAATTTAGCGTTCCTCAGTTTGGAGCAACAGGATGATTGATTTAAAGCTAAATGAATATTTCAGAATGTTGTTGGAAATGTGAGAAAAGTCACTAATGACTCGGGATTCATCTGCTTTGGGAATGATGTATAGCGTAGGGCAGATTTGACCTATTCTCGGTGACATTGACATACACGATGTGGCGAATTTGTTGGCCAATCTAATGTTGACTGTTACCTTCATTGTTTTGTATCCTAAGAACGACTAGGCCGGGCCTGAACACTCTTCTTCCAATGGCCATAAAGGTTGATTGGAGAGGTACTATTTCTTGGTGGCTGCTATACTCATTGAAGGGATTATCCAGGTGTGACATAAAAAAACAATGTCTTCTCTATTGCCATTAAATGAGACAGAAAAGAGAATAAAGTCAGTATTTTTAGAAATTTATTCCTCGCAGATCTCATATTAGTTTTACCATAAGGGTACTTCACTCCTTTTCTGGCGCAGAGTAATGTTGCCTCTGAACACAGCGAAGCAAGGAGTTACTGGACTAATCGTTGCCGAAGTTTAATGATAAGTTTTTGTTATCCCTTTCCAAAAAAAAAATCTTGTTTGAAGTTATATTTCACACATGGGTAGTTAAAGGTATAGATATATGTTGCATAAATGCAATCATATAGAATATAATTAAAGATTGAAATTTTCATCATTATACATTTATAGAATTTTATGTCATCATTTAATAATTCATTAAATGAATTTTGAAACCATTCCTTAGCAAAGCGATTTATATATTTCATTTGAGATATTTTTTGTGAATCACCATAGGCAGCTAAAGCATAGATTATTGGTAACATTTCCATGGAAATTATTTCGTCTATTTTGTTATAAAAAATGCGTCATTGAGAGGGAAATTAAGAGTATTAGTTATTATATACAAAAATAAAATAATTTACATATAAAGCAGACGATAATATTCATAATGTAAACTTATAATATACAATTTTTTTTTAAATTTGGCAACGCTCGATTGTTTCATATCTTTCAACCATATGAGGCTAGCCCGATCTGGTCATTAAATCGATATTATGTTTAAAGTCTAAAAATTGGGATCGAAAAGTCATGTGATGTCGATAAAGCGCCTTTGTGACTCTTTCCCAACCAATAAAGCATCTTAAGGAAGTAGAACCGAAAAACAGACAAATAACGAATATAAATTTTAATTTGTATGCATAAATTAAATTAGACCTTAAAAGATGTGCCCTTTTTTATCCAAAAATAAATAGAAATTTATTATATAATTGATTTTAATTTTTAATTTGAGATATATAAATATAATTAATGAAATATATTTATAATTAACTTAAAAAGTATCAAGTTAATTCGGTCGTTAATTTTAAAATATGCCACTAATCAGAGCATCTTTGCACATTTTATCAAATTCGAAAGTAACTAGTAATGTAATTTTTTTACAAAATTATATCTTTAATAAATCTACTAGGTTAACGATACTTATTAAATTTAAAAAAATTCTACACCCGTATTATATAATATTTTTTATAAAAAAACCTCGAGCAACGCTTTTTTTTTACCTTTAAAATAAAGATTTACACTTGTATATATATTTTTTTTAAATAGCTAATCAGAAATCAGTTTATGTCTTTTAAATAGATTTGCACCAGAGGCCCAGAATAAATTCATATATTTTTGTTCTGCGCCACTGTACATTCAGTTACCGTTTATTAGATTTTCAAAAATTGTAAGCGTTTCGAGAAGCAAAAAATGTTTTACGATAACCTAAAAAATTATGGAACTTCCGGAACGAATTCCAAATAATCGCCCATGTCCATTTCCTAAATAATAATACTTTCTTGGATCAAAACGTTTCATGTGCTCGCACAATTTATAACCCACCCGGATAGTTAATAAGCCATTGTTAGACATGATTAAACCAGGTTTTTGAACAAAAACTATCATTTCAGCTTCGGTGTTTTCCTTGAAATTATAGTTTAGTTTTAGCTTTAAAGAAAGCAGAAATAAATTAAATCGCGTTTAGGGGTTTGTAAATTGAGTCGATTTTTAGCCATTACCCTACTATACCAAAAATGTGTTCTAATGAGAATTATTTATAGATTTATAAACGAAATTTTTTTCCCAAAAAATTTTTTATTTTTATTTTTTCGAAAAACTTTAAATTATATTTTAAAAAAATATACTAAAAAGACGAATGAAAAGTTGATTTGATATTTTAAAATATAAACATTAATATAATAAATAAATTTCTAAATTTTGATGCAAGGGGAGCTAAAAAAAATAAAATGATATAATTTAAACAATTTATAATAAATTTAATATAAAAATATATTATATCAGTACATTTATGGTGTTGTATTTTGCATTGAATTAGTTCGTTGGGCGCTAAAGATGAAGGATTAAGTCATTATAGATAAATATATGGTTTTTTTAGGAGAATAACTGGTTAAAGCGGTAAAAAACACAAGTTTAAAAAAAGTTTGATCAGATAAAGAAAAAAAGAGTAGAATGATGCATCGCCAAAATAATGATTCATCGAAATTATTGTAATCATTTTGCGGATTAAGTGTAAATGTGTGAAGACTAGAAAAAAAAATGAATCATTGATTTATATTATCATTTTATATAAAAATAATGGAGTTCGCATATATTATTTGATTGATTAAGAATATCGAAATTTCGCTTAAAGGACTGCTAATTGATTTGTAATAATTAATCAATGTAAAAACTTAAAGTGACTTGAAAGTTAAAATATTTTATAATAAATAAAGGATTGAACAAAGAAAAGGGAATGGATATAAAAAGAATTGATGAATTTAAAAATATTTGAAAGGACTAAATAAAATATCGGCAAAAATATAAAGGCTAAATATTTTTTAGGTGCGTCTTAATTTGCGTCTATCTTCCAACCTAAGAAGATACCAATCGGATTCCTCTATGGGCCCTATCGGTGGCCCGATTGGCTGATCGATGGACCAATCAAAGGCTTTCTCGTTTTGAGACATTCTGGAAAATTTTGACCAATCGTAGGAGGCTAGCGAAATTTCGTCCTCGCTGCTGGAGGAGGAAATTTTGGTTGGCTCTCCCATACTGTTGCAGATCTTCGTGTTTTTGTTTAAATTATCACTCATATTAGAAATAAAAATTTTATAGATTTTTTTACACCTGTAGGTGTCATTTTTGAGCCAAAATTTATAAACATTGTCTCTGCTAACTCTCTTGAACTGAATTTCTAAAGTGGTCTTGTTAGAAGAAACGAATGTAAATATTATACGATTGCCTAGCAAATATTTATCGGCTACATTTATTCTGCTCGTTTTAGCATCTAAAACATTTGTCGGACAGATGTTGAGAATGATGGGCTCGTGCAACTTGTTCAGGTTTTTAAAAATACCCCGATTTGTGGTAAAATGTAGTGGTGGAGGTGGTATGATGGCGGGAGGAATCAAGCTGTTTTTATATCTTTTAACTGAGACAAGCCGAGAAATTCCGGATCGATCTTTATTATCGCGAACTGTAAGAGGCTTACACCGTTTATCCATGTTTAGGTTTATCACGGGGGCTATATTAGACTTATTATTTAGTTCGAGAGATGCCAACTTCATTTGTTTTCTCCTCCTAACATCGTTCGGTAGTCTGACCAGATTCAAAATTCTATTACTAGAATGATAAATATTCTTTAAGACGATGGTTACATATTTTATAGAGGATGGCATGGTATTATTTTTATTGTTATTATTATTATCTACGTGTCTTCTTTTAATGAAAATTGATTTTTTGCATTTCCAAAAAGATTTCGGACCAAAGGTAACTAGGGATATCACGCATGGGGTCATATTCGTTAAGGCAATCGCGTTTTTATAATTGTTATTATTAATCCCACTTAGACTAGTAGAAACGTTATATTTTCTGACGAAATCTCCGTGCGAAACTCTATTCGTAATGACTTTTACTTGCTTTCGACTTTCGTTAATTTCCTTAGAATAACTAATATGAGTGACAGGCGACAAGTTTCCTTCTCTGGGTGAAATATCGAACTCCAACATGGTCAAAAGTTTTAATGCACGAGATAAATTTTGAAGCAGCTTCCTAAACTTTTTGGCCAATTTCCGTGTTTTAGCGCTATCAATGATAAGTCTATCGACGCCCACCTTCATATTTTTCAAAACCCCAGTGATGGAGCGAATGAATTCGGTCCTGTGTTCTTTATCCAAATTCATCAGTTGATATACAGCTGTTGATTTATGACGGATTGAATGTCTTTTACCGACTCCGCTATACATGGGGATTCGAAATCTATCCCAAAGGATTTGATTGATAATTTTAAAATCATCCTTAAAGCCTTCATTCCCATAAATTTTGCGGAATTTTTTGAAATGTTTACGGAAAGATTTAAAATTTTTGTTGAAGCGTTCCAATTCTTTGCCACTGTTTCTGATCAATCGCCGTAATTTCGTTTTATCGCCTTTTCCTACATGATGATCACGTGAATAAAGACTCAACAAGGCGCATTTAGGAAAATGAGAACCCAAGATTTTAATCTCATTCTTATCCAGCCCCCCGGATCCCCGAAAGTTAAACGATAACGACTCATTCTTAATAGTGATCATGTGGCTCTTGTTTAAACCTAAGCTATCATTCGCTATATTCGTAAAGATGGAATATTTTTTTAGGTGCAAATTAGTAGTTAAATTTTCAACGTCGTTTAATGAAGCGGGGTATAAGGAATCAGCAGCAGGAAGAACGTTGAAAAATCGTCTCAAGAACAAAATATCCGTATTTACGTTATTCGGGAGAATAGGTAAAAGTGCCCGAGTTTTGTTTGGAAACTTTTTGTAATTTTTTTAAAAGATGAAATAATAATTATTTTTTTAAAAAAAAATAAATTTTATTTTATACATATTTGTAAAAGAATTTAATATTTTAACCGATATCACAAAAAAAATGAAATCTAAGAGAACATAAAAAAGGAAATTTTTTAATAACCATAAAAAATGGATTCAAACCTATCCTGGTTAAACGCCAAAACTTTTGACCGGATGATGTAACGATACTCACGGCATCGGTCGGTACTTTTAATTTCAACCAATACAAATAATCGTTTCTCAAAAATAATCCCTCATAATGTTTAAAAAAAATTGAATTACAAATTTCTAACTGGAATGAACGATGGTAATGTATTTTTTTACTATTTCCTTTTTATCAGAGACCTGCAGAGGTTGATCAAAAAAAATTCATTATTTTTGATAATTTTGGCCATTGAAAATCGAATAGTAAATAAATATCAAACACTCCATTATAGATATTCCAACTGATTGATTGATATAATTTAAATTCTTTTTAAATGACCAGATTTTAATATCACACTTTTTTGGTCCGATCCGGGATGGTTTCCAGGCCTGCAGTTATCCGACTTATATTTCATATACATTATCTATAAATGATATATTGATGAATTGTATTATATAATTTTTAAGTATTGGTGGTATCAGTTTTAATTATCCGAAAAAAGTGGTAATGGTGCATCTCTGCGAAAAAAATATATTAAACTTGAATAAATTTTGCGTCCATCAATAATTCTCTAGAATTTGCGCATAGAGTCTCTCTGCTATTATTACGCCTCTTCATGTCACCCTTTGTTTGCAAGGGGATTCGGCGATGAAACAAGAGTCTCGCAAAGCTGTCAATATTAGCCGAAATGGTAGTTAATTCGTTCATGGGGCGGTACTCTCCTCTGTCGACTTAATAAATGAATATTTTAAGGTATTCTGATTGGTGATAACTTGGTATCGATTAACCAATTAAAATATCATCTTTAAATATATGATTAATATAATTGTATTGCCATTAAAGAGGATAAGATATAAGATGTAAATGAATATCATCCATCGGGAAATAATTTTTATAGTAATCATTTGCTGATATTCAATTACCTTTATATATTAGGTTGATCGATAGACCAATCGAAATGTTAGGAAAAAACAAAATATGAAAGGTACCTGTGATAAGGGCGGGTATTTGACTTAACGATGTGGGGCAAGGTAGTGTATGCATCGACAATTCTTTTTTTGGAGGGGGTTAATAAAATATAAGAATATTTAATTAAGATGCACTATTATTCTTTGTCTTTTTCCTATGCCTTAATTCTTATCTAGTCTTACAACGTATAGGCCAGTCTAATAATTGGCATGATGTGATTTAATAGCTGATCGAATTCTATGAATTTTTTTCAATGATATGATTCATTTTTATATTTAATTCCGAACTTGATCCGCTATTATCGCACCCCCATATAAATGCTGAGTCTTAGTCTTTGTATATTCTTTGCACTCTTCTCTCTCTTTTTAAAAAAACGTTATAAACTTAAAATAATATCTGGTAAAAAATTAATATATTGAACATTAGAATGATCTATCTGACAATTGTTTTTTAAAGATATTCGCAATCAAAGTTCTCTTCTATTATACTGTCTACGTCGGTTAAAATTAAACGTATTAGTAATAACAATAAAAAAAATTCACCAATTTCAATAAGTAACAAATAGAGCATTTCAACGTTAAAGTGATGAAATATTATCATTATATAAAACCTTTAGGTTTGATCCTTAGTGGTAACATAAGGTGATTGTCGAAAGGCAACTGCAAAGATAATATTTCCGGATTTCCTAACCTACGGTGGGTAAAGAGGTAAAATCAATATAATTTGGGCTTCATATAAATACCATTTGAAAGAAAGAAAATGGTCGAAGTAAAAGATTAGATCAAAATAAGTTTTTTTAAAATAAATTGGAGGAAAAAAGTAACTAAAAGATTATTATAAATTTTTTGTTAAACAAGGGACCTGCATAAAGGTTGAAATTTGGCCAATTTCCTGTCTATACCTTTGATGAGATTAATGGTTCTATTCAAATCTAAATCCATCAATTGCTGAGTCAAGTGGGGGTAGTTCAGGCTTTTCGAGGCGTTAATAACTTCTTTCCAAGCCTTGTTAAAAAACAAATTATATATATATATGTACTAGAAAAATGCACAGATACTTTGTATATGTATCGGCAGATAATTTTAGTATCATACTATTCATGATTAATATTTTTCTTTCATCTTAGCTTTTCCTTTCTCTCTAAATTGTAATAATAGGCATCTTTATTATTATTATTAATTAGGGTTCAAACTCCATTTTTAAATTTTATACTACAATGATAATAATAATATCTAGTAGATATTATAGTTAAATTCAAAATCAATTAGTGACATGCCAATTTGGTTTTTCAATATAAGAATTAATATAAATAAATGATGACATGATTTTTTAAAAAGTTTTCATAAAATTTTAATATAAATATAGAAAAATGGCGTGTCACCAGCTGATTTTGCATTAAAATTGAAATGTATGAATGTCAGTAGCTATAATTATGTGTCATTGCCTACCCGACATAATATAATTATAAATCGGCAGTATTATCACCCAGCAATTCAAAAAATAAAACTGATTGCATATGTCATTTCATAAAATTGTAAATTATAACTATCTTACGATCTGGTAGATTATTTAATATTTCCTCCAACAATAACAATATACTTAAATCTTTTTTTAGATTTGTTCGGGTCGATATAGGAAAATGGAATTAATTTTATGTTAGGGTTCGGGCCGAAATCAGTTTTTCCGGATAGAGTCGAAAAAAGAGTCTTCTACAGATTTTTAATCAATGTCATTAGCTTTGTTTATTGTACCTATTTACATCATAAGAGGAGCTTATAACTTTAACTGTAGAGTTTTTAAATTAATATTAACACTGAACTAATTGTAACTAGTCAATTTTCAGATAAAATGTAATTAATAAAAATATAATCACAATTAATAAAATTTAACAAGGTATCTAAAGATATTTACTTTTCTTAAAAAAAATACAACAGAACTATCGTCATTAAAACGGGATTTAAGCGATGAAATTATTGGCATTTGTCTTTCCAGGAGTTGGCCGTGTCTACGGCCCTTTGCAATCTTAAAGCAAGATCAAACTTCTAATAAAAATTTAAAAAATGTCAAGTTGGGTAGTAATTCATAGAAATTTAAATAAATCTAAGTCATTTTTTTTTAAATTTTTATTTAAAAAAATTAAAATTATGAATAATTTTAGTTTCAAGGATAATTACAATATTTAAAAATTATGAAACAAATACACATAACATAATAAATAATTATATTTAAAATTTTTAAATATGAATTTTTAAAAAAATAATGAGAAATAATTTTTTTTGACATATATTTTTCCCTAATTCTCTGCGCATAACAAAAAATAGTAATTTAAACATAGAAAAAGATATAAATAAGAACGAAAATTTGTTGATCGGAATTATTAATGATTTAAGATAAGAGATCTGCGAAGTACGCGAGCGAAAAGTGCCCAAAATATTCTTTTAGGGCCGGGCCGTATAACTTGAATAAAATTGTTTCCGAAAAAAAATTACAAAGCAGGGATGTGAACCCGAACCCTCGTATTTTGAATGTACCCGAACCCTGACCTTTTTAATAGTGGAGGGTCCAAGGGTTCTAGGTGTCATAAAAAAATTTTTTTTTTTAATTTTTTTAAAATTTTTTTAAAAAAATAATATAAAAGCTTAAAAAATAATCGCTTTAAAACTATCATTGATAAAGGAAGGGATGTTGGAAAACATATAACTCCCAGAATTGTAAGAACATTAAAATCAATGAAGGCCAATGGCAATATTAGATTGCACAATACCCTCAATTTGTATGATGCTAGAACAATTATTAAGTTTGAAAGATTTTGGTAATGATTTTATTATAAGAGTATGTGAAGTCATTTTGTCGGAAAATGATTGGCGCCATATAAAGGATCTTACTAGTGCATTAGTTCCTTTAAAAATAACAACATTAAGATTACAATCAGAACAATATTGTTTATCCGATTTTTATGGCATATGGATTAGATGCTGATTAGATTTAGAAAGATTTACTAGTCTTTTATCATGCGAAATATTAGAAAACATGAAAATTCGAGAGCAACAATATTTGCAAAATAGTGTTGTATATGCTTCTATATATTTAGACTCTCGATATCGTTTTATTGAGTATTGAAAACCAAATGGCTAAAGACCATCTTAAAGATTTATGGCATACGCAAAACTCCATTATTTACAATATATTGGAGCCTACAACAATAATACCTATTGGTTGTAGTGATAATAATGATAGCAACATTGATGATCTTGAAATTTTACTTTAAGGTAGAGAAAAAAAATCAAATTATCATCAGATAGAAAGGAGGATCAAAAAATGTCTATTGCACTTTTAGGAGAAAAGTTCTCAGAAGTTAAGAGAATAAATAAGACAAATATTTTAAAATTCTAGGAAGAAAATTCTTTAATATATCCAGAATTATATATCTTGTCTAGAATCGTCATGGCTCTGCCGGCGACACAAATACAATAATTTATGTATTATAAAGATAACTAACTATTTTAGGTAAACGTAGAATGTAGATTTTCATCTTTGAAATATATATTGTCTAATTTACTTGAAAATCTCAAGGATGATAATTTAAGATATTATGATTATGCGATTGAATAAAATATTTAACATATAAATTATTTCATTTTTAAATTTTTTTTTTGTAAATTATGAATGTTTATATATTGAAGTATAATAATAAATGAATGAAAAAAAAGTCTTATTTAAGTCATTTTTTTTATATTTGAACTCGGACCATTTTTTTTTGTCGAAGGGTTCACATCCCTGTTACAAAGTTTCTCAATTAGAAAATTTAAAAATACGCAAATATTATTTTATATATTTTCTTAAATTTTTTTTTATTTAAATCAAACATTTAAACGTTATTCCTTTGTAATTAAATTTTTAAAACATTTTACAAAAAAAAGAGATTTTATCGAGTCGAAAAAAGTCAAGGTTATCTTAAATTAATATTGATTCCTTAAGTTAACTGAATTTATACTATCTTACAATTTATAACATTTTACTAAAATAAAATAAAATGTTATTATAACTGTTTATATAAGTACCGCTTCTTATAAAATAATGAGTAACTGTGATTGCGTATTTTGCGTTACTTTCTTCGAATTAACGTCTTAAAGAATAATGGATTTACTGATTCCCTATCAAAAAGAAATGGTGAAATCATTAGTTATAATAATTAATATTAACGTAGATTTAATAAGACTGAGTGTTTTATCGGATCTCTCAAGTCTAACCAAACTGGTTGAAAATTTTGGCAAAAACTTTTTCAAAGAATAATAATTGTTTTTTTATGAAATAAATGAAAATGGTACGGGGTTCCAACCTCGCCATACCCCCCCCCCCTTCCGCTTTAGGTTGCGCCGTACTGTTAAATAAATATGTACCGCTGATAAAAACGAAAATTAATATCCTGCGAAACGGTTAAAATATTGCAAAATTGTCAAAAATTATAAATCATTTCGTAATTTTTTATATATATTATAAAATAAACTAAAATTTTTAATTATTTTATCACATTTCTGCTATCTTGTTTTACAACATTTTGCCAAAGTAAGAAAGAAATAACTGATTGTGAAATGAAAACACAATTTAAATATTATAATAAAAAAAAATTATTGAACTCTTGATAATTCCGGAAAAACTAAGTGATTTAAATTCTTAATTCCTCATTCAAATGCCGCTTCAGATCGCAATTTATGCTCAAAGAATAATATATCATAAAATATATACTTTGTCTTTCGATATCCGAATTAATGATTAAACAGAAATTAAAAATAAATTGCATAGAGTTCGGGATATTAATTTCCAAAGAAAAGCAACTGTCAAATAAAATAAACTTATCGAATAAATATAAATTTTTAACAATTCTTCAACAATCCTACAAAATGATTGGTAGAATTTAGGTCTACTAGGAACTCCGGAATATTTTATAAAAAAAAATAGTTTTCAAATTCAGTCAAGAAATTTTATTTCCAATTAAGAAGGAAGGGAAAGAAGGAATAAAAATGGGTGTAAAAGGATATTTGCGTTTTAAATATTGAAAAAAAAGATGGACCAGAACGAACGAAATCAACTTTGAGTATAGGTTATAACTTTTGGTCAGTAATGACTGAATCATTTATTATTAAATAGCTGTCGCTTCACTTCTAACATTTATAATATGTCATGAAGATTTCCTCTAAAATTATCAGAAATATACCATCTTTGAATTCAGAAGACTTCGCTGTCCTGATATAAAAAATGATCTAATTGTGAAAAGTTTTTTTTTATATTCGTTTTTTCTCCCAACCAGGGTATTATTTTTTTTTTTAGTATATAAATAAAAAACCGCGGGAAGTCAAATTTGTTATGCCTTATTTTGATTTTTAAAATAATACTATCAGAAATAAATATAAGAAAATATAAAGCTAAGGCTGGAAATTGTAATTATAATGAAAAATTATACAGGTTGAATAATTGAAATAGCTGTTCGCCATCTTGATAATATAATATTAGAATATAAGATTTTTTAAAATATGTAATACCTAATATTATAATAGAGATTTGGCATAAAATCCCCTTTATAACTCTCAAAAATATATCAGGCAAATTTGCTAGAAAAACCTCATATGAAATGCGAAAGCTTTCGGGCTTTCCCGATTGTCCCAAAAAACAAGATGGTTCATTTGATAGTAAACAACCTCCATATTTAAGTGGCCTGGAAACAATAATGACAGAAATAAAATTCTACACAATGTGGATATATTCACAATAATAATATATAAAGCCAACCAACTCTTTCGCTTAATATTATAATTTGTACCACCCTTATGTGCAAATATAAAATCTAACACTATTTTATCATTAAATACACACATTTAAACTAAAGAAAACAAAATTTTTATATACCTGCATAGGTCCAAATAAGACATACAAAAAAGTGTATCTACTAAATCTTTAATTTTAATTCAGAATTGCTAGGTGTCATTCTACGCCTATTTTCGGAGATTGGAACCTAGTATAAAAAATGTTCTATTTCCTGTTCCAAATATAATTTTTTAAAGTTGTTTTCGGTTTATAAATAGATTCCATACCGGTTTCTGGAATTTTAAGAGGTGAAATGTTTTAAACAAAGATATAAGGTATAATATAATTGCCAAATCCTATGTACTTATTTTATTACCAAGTGCAATTAAAATGGTGAACAGATGACTTCAGATAATCTTGTTTAATGCATTGACGATTGTCTGACTAGTGCTGTTAATAATACTTAGTGTTGTTGACTGATATAGTTTTCTAAAAACCTTATCCAATCTGATTTTACCGAGGTCGGCTGAACCAATCCGATATTCGGTAGATATATACCTAAATTTTGGCAAATATTTCCCACATTATGAGTTGAAATGATCATCCCATCAAAAAAAATTTGCCACAAAGATTTCTAAAAATCCAATACATTATTTATTTATTTTCAACCTTAAGGACATTTTTATAAATTGTGTAAATAAAATAATATTCGTTTTTAAAAAAAAATAATTTGGCCTTCTTAATAAAAATGAGAACTGATAGCTTATTATTATTATAATTTAGATAAAAAAGATCAAAATTTTAAATTTATGAAACAAAATTGTGAAAATTAAATTTAAAAAATATTAATTATTTTAAGAATGATTGGATAGGAGAGGATGAATTTTTTCCATATTCTAATCTTTGATATAAGTCATATGTTAAAAAATAATAGGCGTTCGATCATAATTATTATTGAAAATCTAATATGATGCCATCAATCAAACCGAGATTAAGATAATTATCTTGGCGACTAATACACTCAATATTTTAGTCCTCAATTCAACTTAGTTATTATCATTTATTCTTTTTTATAAATTAATTATTTCATTATCTTTAAATTAAAGTATGATGCTATGCAAATAAATTTATCGAAATATTCAATTTTATGTAAATTTTATATCTTTACTTGATATAAGAAAAATCCAAAAGGAAAGAATGTATAAGTATTTATAAGTTTTATTTTTTGAAAGTTTGGCAGATTTATCTTTTTTAATAAACTTGTTTGAAAAAATTAAATATTTACTGATAAATTTAGTTTAAACTAAACTAATTTATATAGATTTTAAAAATATATTTATATTGGTTTTATAAAAAAAAATTTCATCATAAAACATAAAATTTAAATGGGGAGGGGAGGGGGACTATTCTATATAATTAAAAAATAAATTTGGAAATACTTGTATCCTTTGAGCCGACTTGATTTTGAATCTTTCGCAAAATTTTTCCAAAAATCGAGTCTTATTTTTCAGGAGGAGCATGGGAGCGAGCCGAGCAGATGATTTTGAGCCTCCAATTGAAACAAAGTTAACAACATTAGGTTCGTTATTAATCGTATTGTAGTTTTGATACAAGAAATAATATGGCGAAGATTTTAAAAAAGTGTAGTTCATTTTGTCCTGATATAATTTATCTAAAAAGTATTAATTGTAAGGATATATGTTTGAGGGTATGACCCGAAGTTTTCTTAATTTTTAAAAAATTAAATTATTTATATAGAAGGGTAGGATTATGAGGAAAATATGATATTTAAATAATTTATTTGCAGAAGGTTTATTGAATTAAGACATATTTATATCATTTAAATATAAGCGAAACAGTGTTTTAGATTTTCAAAATAAAAAATTTAATTTAATTTTTTTTCTTAAATTATAATTACAGTCAGAAATAGTATTGTCAAAAACCCCAATTAAAATTTTAACCAAAAAAGTATCGCCTAAGTCTCAGGATTTGGTCAAAAGCTTTCCGCCATTATATGCGAATTTTCTAAGGCTTATGACTACTCAGAATATATTATATTATCGTAAATAAGAAAAGACTATTAAATATTTATTGTCAATTTAACTAATTTACTAATAATATTCACAAGAAAACAGATAATGTAATATAAAATGATTGCATATTCCATTATTAACTTTTCTTAATCAGGAGGTATTCGCCTCTACCAAAATTATTTTATTATAAAACTTGGATTTAAATCAAAAAATTAGTGAATTAATCGAATAATCATTTTTCCAATAAAAAATAATATTTTTTTAATCCTAATAAGTGTTATTAGACATTGAACTTATTTTTTAAGATTCTTTACAAGGCCGGATAAAAATATTATGCTATAAATCCTAGTCGACTTTTTTGGAAAGTTCGAGTGTCATCCAGTCAGAAAGGTTTGAGGCCGATTTGAAAAAAAAATTTATAATTTTATTTTTTGAGGAAAGCGAAAAAATTATAAACTCTAAAAAGTTTGTCTCTTTATATTCTAGAAAGCTAGATTTTAAAAAATTCAGGTCCGGCATTTAAAATCTATATCCGACGTGACCGTGAACAGAACCGGTTATTAATAAATATTCAATATTAAATTTATAGAGGACAAGGTTTAAAAAAATAGAGTAAGCATAAAAACTAGTTCACTAGATTTTAAACTCCCCTTGGAAGATATATAAATAAGATTGACAAAAAATTGAAATTCTAACAATTATTAGTGGTGGATTCATATACAGGTATTTTAGGAGGCGTGTTAAATTGGTTTAAATACAAATACTAATGTTTCAATGTTCCAGGCTTTAAGTTTTTAAATATTCAGAGGTTGTATACCGATTAGAGAACAGCCCTAACCAACTTGGCACATAAAGATTATCAAAAAGTTTTTCACCCAGTTTTATTTTTACCGGAAGGATAATCTTACCCAAGTTGCTGTCAGGTATTTTTTTTATGTGAAGAAAAAATCTTAAATTTGCGTATTAACTCGGTACCGAGGCCTATCCTATTTTGATGATTAATAGCTGATAATAACTTTATAGAAATATGTCTACAATGATAATAGAATAAGTCAAAAATAAATATAAATAAAAAGCAAATGGGGAATTTTATTCGAACTAAGAATATTTAATATTATCGTAAAATAAAAATTGTTCGCCATTTTGATTAATCGAATCGGCCAATTTAAGATATCGGCCGATATTCTAAAAATATGAACAATCGAGCCGATGCGCGATTTAAAAACCGGTATTATCTAGTGTCTATTTATTTCGATCCTTATTATTCCATCGTTTCTTTTTTTTTAAAATTTTTATGGTCCAATATTAACATAACATTGCATCATTAAATATTAATATTCGCCATATTGATATATTTGAAGGGACCAATTTAAAAATGTCGAGCGATATCAATATTTAAAAAATAATTGACACAAATTATAATCAGTGTATTATGGGGAATTTTTATGATTTGCTTATGGCAATTATCGTTCATCCAACAAAATATTATATTTTGGAATCAAAAGTGCATTTAAGAACAGCCTATGATTATTGTTTAGGTGTATTGATTTGCCAGCAACTGATGCAAAATATCTCATATATACGAGGCCTTTGTTAAACCTTAAGGTAGAGGTCTGCAATGGGCTGCCTTATAGCTTGAGAGTTCACCTGCCCATTGTTATAAATTAATTTAACTTACTCAACATGCATGTAGGTTTTCTTTAAAAAATCATCTGCCTACCCATCTTAAAACTTTGTTTATCTTATTCGATAGGTTGATTTGGCTGTTATTTTATTTTATTTTTTAAATTTATATAAAAACTTATAAAATATTTTAATAAATGAAAGTTCTTTCTGCACAATTGGTCAGCTTTTTTTAAAATCTATCAGCCAGCTTACCAATTGTTCTAGAAATATATCTAGCCCACACATCCTATTTTTAAAATTTGTAACCCACCCAATCATAGTAGGGCTGACTAAATCCCCACTTGCAAACCTATATTAGGGATTGGTTAAAAATAGGAAATAAGAATCGCTCAAATAGAAATTGTGATTTTAGTGGAGAGGAATGCCTAATTAAAATGATATTGTGATTTATTGGAAAAAGGTGTATATTAAAAGTTAATTGCATTTTTCTCAGACATTGAATAAATATAATTATGTTACCATCAAAAAATAAGAAAGATGAGGTGATGAAAAATGAGGCCAAAAGTATCAATAAAAGTGTGGAAGAAAAAAATTGTTGTTCCATATCAATGTCCTTATTATCATAATGTTGTGTTGGGATGATTTTATCTTTCTTTCTATTAAAAACCTTGCCCATTTTTTTAGGAGTTGTCAAATCAACAATGCTGATATTAGTCTTGTGTTGGAATACCCATTTAAAATAATCTTGAATGTAGGGATTGATTATGTATGTTGAAGATTGGTTTAATCTTGAAACTAATTTTCCCAACACATCCGTGATCATGTTCTCTTCATATTTAACCACACTATCACATAAATCATCATCACTATTTTCTTTAAATCTTAGCATTGAGAATTCTGATTTATCATCACAAAACATACTGATGTCTGATTCATCTGTGTTTGATAGACTGGAATATGCATCTTCAAGTACCTTTAAATTGAAATCAGATGTGTCTTTATTGATAGTATTATAATTAGTCAACTTGATCTCATTTTGTGGTCTAGCAATATTTTCAAAATTTGTAAGGTTGTGCTTGGTCTTTTTGTGTTTTTTTCTAATCTTCACATCTTTAATAAGAACAGCCTTAATTTTTGTTGTTATATTTTCTATTTGAATATTTTTATCATGAGGGGGTTGCAAGATTATTTTGGGTAGAGTGTTTCTAATTTTATCATTATTTGAATGATATTTTATCAATTTAGTAGGTATTTTGGGTTCATTTTCCTCAATTTTATTATCATTTAAAGGCTCTGGAATAGATGTTTCACAATTAATTTGAGTTAAGACATCCGAACCTACTTCAATGGCATTTGACTTATCTTTTGCTTCATCACAAATTGTTTTCTCATAATTTTCCCTGTAAATATCCTTATCTATCTCAGAATCAATAAGGTCATTTTCTTTTTAAAAAATATATTGAAGTATATTAAAATTTATAATCACCTTTTTGCCCTGTAGCTTTATCTTCATTTACTATTATATTGTAACTAAAATTTATAGAAAAAATAAATAAAAGTTCAAAGACATTTTGTGATTTACTTAAGATGCACAAAACTGTTATCTGTCTCATCACTGCTACCAATTTCACCAAGTTTGAAAGGATCAATTAAAACAAATTCATAAGATGAACTTGTATCACTCTGAGCAATAAATTTAAAAGAATGATTAAGAAATTAATAATAAAGATTAATATATGTGCTTATTTTTTAAATAATTCAAATTTTCAATTGAATATTACTCAAAATGATAAAAAGGCACATCCATTAATAAGAAAAAATTTTAAAAAATTTCATTGTTCATATAAAATTTGATATTACTTTGTAGCTAATACTGTCTAATTTATCTAAATCTATGCAATTTATGTCTTCATACTCTTCCTCATTCATATCTCATGAGGAGCCAAAAAATTAAATGATATTAAAGATTTATTTAAAAAGTTTTTATATTATTTTTGTTAATTTAAATATTTTTAATTTAAATAATAGACAGTTCCAAAAAAAAAATCCATAACCCTTATCAAAACATAGCCAATTTTTTTTTTGAAGTTGTAGCCAAAATTAATATAAATTGAGTTTATTATCATATGATAAAGAAACTCAGTTGAAATATATTTTCAATTAAATTTCTAAAAATCTATATTATTTATTAATCTTAAAATTTTCTATTTACAAGGTATAAATAATGGGATAATAAATTCTGAATCAGAGTAAAGATAAATTTACAGAATTTATGGTTAGCATTATTATGGAAATAATTTTTCATAACAAGTCAAAAAAGAGGTTTAAAAATATTTATGATAAAGTGTATTATTAAATAATATCGATCTTAGACATGATCGATATAGCAATCAAAAAATTAAAGATTCGTACTCTTAAGCCCTTAATTCTTAGAATATATTTGGCTTACTACAAGTTCAACTTTAAAACTAGATATAATAATATTCTATATCATATATTATATGAAATATATTAATATTTTTATTATTTTTAAGTTAATTTATCAGATAAATGATAGATCGTTTTAAGCTGGGGATTTCATTTTAGCTTTTAGTCAATAGTTTTTGATTAAATATCAGGGTATATATACCTTGTCGACTAGATGAAGGCTAGGGGTTAAATTTTATATATGTAAAACTTTTTGATTTGCTAAGATTATATTTTCCTGCTCACCTTGGCTTATTCAGCGTCTAGATGAGAGGATATTTACTTGAAGGAAACCCCCCTTTAAGATATATCCTAATATCTACATGAGCGGTGAACAGCGTCTTCATGAGCAGGAGGGGTAGGAACAGTTTGCATCTTATTTTTTGAAGGGGGTAGGGGGTAGGCTGCTTTAATGGGGGCAGGATAAATTAAAATTATTGCTGTAATAGTAATACAATTCATCAACCAAATTTATATATTGCAAACAATCATACACATTGTTTTCCAAATAAAATTTTCTGCTATCCGTTTAAATGTAATTTAAAAGATTTACATATTTCGCTCATAATGCCATAATAATTAATTCAATGTAAATAATGGAAGTTTTAATTGAATTTATTATCTAAAAAATAAATTCTTTATATTCACAAAATATTGATAGTTGGTAGTAGAGATTGATTAATTTAAGTTAGCCTTTATAAATTTTCTGAAAAGAATATCAATAAATTAAAAAGGTAAAAATAATAATAGGGAAACACCGCCTAATTTTTTAGGGGGGTAGGCAAAGGTTTTTGTAGGGGGTTTGCATCCAGTAAAAATCCTGTCATGTAGACGCTGGCGGTGAAGGTAGGAACAGTTTGCATCTTATATTTTAAAGGGATTAGAGGGTAGGCAAGAGGTAGAATGGGGGGTTATCTATTAAATTTTTGGATATAATAGAGAAAATGTTTTACTGTAAGAATCATAGGCGTAGGTAGCCAAGGGGGGGGAAGGGCAAAGAAAAATTTCCCATCCCTTCAGAAATTTATTACTTTTTGTGAATATCCTTTTAAGCTAATAAAAAATATCACCCTCAGTCCTCTCCCCACTCCCTGACCCCCAAAAATGTATGCATATATCCTAAACAGTGGCGTAGCTACGGGGGTGGTTTTCGGGTTAGGACCCCTCCCAGAGCAAAAATTTTTTTTAGCTTATAAGTTCAAAAGACTTAAAAGTGATTTTATATGAATTATATTTTCTGGTTTTGATGTTTGTGGAAGGATATTATATTACTATTGAAATTATTCTGGATAGTATTATTATAAAGTCATTGAGAATAATCTACTAAATTATAATAACATATTATTGATGCATTTAAAAAATATATTTATTATATATTATCGAAGATATGGTTATGATTTGTAAGATAAACCCGGCCGAAGGCCGGGCAAAAGGGCAGAAGGCCCGTTAAAGGGGGTCTGGGGGGGCGAATCTCCCCAGCTTTTATATGTATGGACCCCCTCTAAGGAAAATTCCTAGCTACGCCACTGATCCTAAACAATAATTTGAAAGAAAGAATGTAAAAGTTGATATTTTTTAATAAAACTATTCATCATAATTTAAATTTATACATTTTTGGAAAAAAGCATTTGTATATAAAAAAAACCAAAAATGTTTTTTAAAGATAAGTTTTAAGACAAAAGTGAAATGAATTATAATTATTAATAATAGATAAATAAAATTACTAAATAATATAATAAATCAGTATAATTTTTTATAAAGTGAGTAATTATAATTTATTTATCTTAATAAAAATAAAATATGATTATAAAACTATTGATAAAATTGAATCATAAATTAAATAAAAATATTAAAGCACAGTACAAACAGAGGAATATTATATTTAGTAGATTTACAGTATATCTAACTTTATCAATTATCATATGACAATCAAGTAATTTTTACCAATATAGCGAATTATATATTTTACAGAAAACTAGAAAATATTAATAAGGACATCGGAAAATATCTTTTAAAGACATTGTGGGATGAATAATATGAAGATTAATTTTTAATATCATTTTTTATTTAAAATAAATAGATGGCATTAAATAATTGTATGCAAATTGTTGTTATATTTATTATCAAGAGCATTGATTAGTAAAATTTGTTAAAATATTAACTGTATAACTGTCAAATATGTCTGTAAAAGTGGAAATTTACTATTATTTTATAACTAATTCTATATAATAGAGGAATATCAACTATATGTCTACTTTTTATAAATAAATTTATTATATTTGTTTGGAATAAATTATTACCATGCTTTTCTAATAATATATATACAAGTAATTTATTATATTTTATATAAACTAATAAAAATATATTTCATATTTGTTTCAGGCTTATTTTTTTTATTAAAATTAATCTCCTATCTTGTAAAAATATTTTATGACTATATAGACTAAGGTAACCTGGCCGAAGGCCGGCAAAAGCGAGCTGAAGGCGGCCCGAAATGGGGTCTGGGTGCGAAGCCTTAAGTAATTTTTTTATTCCCCCTCCCACTTAGGATGGCTACGCCTATGGTAAGAATTATCACCTTTATTATAGAACTATAATAATACAATGATATTGCTAAACATCGACAAAATGTTCAAACAATCGAAGACATTATTTTCTAAATAAAACTATTTCTGGATAATTTTCTGCTATCCTTATAAAATTTAAAAGGGTTAGAAATTCCATCAGTAAACTTATATTCATACCAAATAATATAATTGAATTCGTTCTAAAAAATATACTTATATTATTAGGTCTTAAGTAAATTCTATAAATATGTAAAAAAAAAATCGTGTTTTTTTTTATGGGATTCGTTTTTTTAATCGTTGAGCAGTTTATGAACCCAACCTGAGAATGTGTATCATTTATTTATGTACTTATTTATTTATAATGTTTGGTGGAATATTTTATATTATTTCGTGATATACTTAATGTTGTTTCGTGATATACTTAATGTTGTTTCGTGATATACTTGATATTATTTGGTAATAGAAATGAGTATTCTTTTATATATGGATTAATATAATAATACTAGCTAATAACCCGTCAAGAATGACGGGGTTGAAGGGTAATTAGTTTGTGTATATAGTACTAAATATACTTTATTAATATATTTTATAAAAATTAAAATTCTAAATTTGTGAATCACACCTCATTAGATATTCATAATTTAAATGATGACCCGTCTTTTTTGATGGGCAAAATGTAAGATATATAACTAAGAGTACTAGAGCTCCCGTTAGTATTGCTGAGCCCGTCAAAAATGACGAGAATGAGAATTTTCTCCTTACTCTTAAGATGTTTGAAAATAATATCCAATTTTTATTCTTTAATACTTACTCCCCCCAGGCAAGGTCCAATCCATTAAAACTAAGTGTAAATGCTATGTTTTGAGTCAAAATATATTTAAGCTTTTACTTGATACCCATATTGTTATATTTGAATGTTTATATATATTTTAAAAGGTTACGCTATTTGAATTATATATTTCTTACATTTTATATTATCTTATGGAGGTCAATGTAATTGCATATTAGTAGTAGTTAAATGACATAATTATAAAAGACTATATATAGGAAACAATTTTATAATAAAGAATCTATTGTTTTGACTATAAAAAATGGCGACGAAATAAAAAAAAATCTAAGTCGCGCAGTTTTCGGTCTTCGGTCAAGTTTAATAATATATAGAATTATAAAAAAAATTTCTGTTTATAAAAAAAAAATTATATATATTTAGAAATTATGGATAAAATTATTCTCCAGGACTTTAAAAAGGAAGGTTGTTCTATTGAGGACTACGTTTATTATATCAAATATATACTAAATGTGAAAAATATTCCTCAAACTGACGCCACTTTAAAAAAATTATTTATAGCTTATGGAGGAATAAACATTGTAACTGATATCAAAAAATTACTCTATCCTAGGAATATAGAGGAGGTAGGATGGATTGACATATATAAAATAGCAAAACAAGTATATAAAGATGAAAGAACTATTTTGGCATCAAGAATTGATTTCATTAGATTAAGTCGCGGAGCTACTGAATCCGTAATGAGCTAATTAAAAAATATAAAGGAGTTAGCGATGCGAATTTGAAGACAATGTAGAACTGAGAATTCGAGATCAATTAATCGCCGGACTAAAGATGTCACAACTGGATAAAGAACTACGATTAAGATATCCAGATACTAAAGACGAAAACCAACCGTTAAGCTTAAACAAAGTGGTAGAATTGGCTTTAGCAATGGAACGAGCCGACTTAGAAATAAATAATACTGCTATGGTATATAAAATCAAAGAGCCGAATAAACATGATAATAATATTCGGATAAATCAACATGATAAAAATAATCGGAAGTATAATAATAATGATAATGATAAAAGCACTATCAAAAGGATAATAAAGCATATGTAAAAAGAGAACTAGTGCCCGGGTATAATAAATACCATACAAATAATAATAGTAATTGGAGAAAACCATGCTATTTCTGTAATCCTTTTCATGTTATTAGAAATTGTCCCGCCTACGGAAAATTG